TAGCAAATGAACTGTATAAAGATTGGCTGCTAAGTGTTGTTCCTGTGCCGGTTTATAATTTGAATCGAGCAATTCATTTGAATAGCCTCACTACAAAAGCTGAAATTTTATGAACTTTAAAGGTTTTAAGCTCACATTATTCCTACAAATCTTGTGAAAATGCAAATTTTCTTTTTAAAGCTATGTTTTCTGATAGCCAGATAGCAAGCAATTTCAGTTGTGGTGGAAAGAAAAACTGCCACCTCTCAGTTTTTGGTATTGCGCCATATTTTTTGTCTCTACTTAAGTCAAGAGTGAAAGAGGAAACCAATTATGTACTGCTTTTTGATGAAAGTCTAAATGATGTTAATCAATTCAAAAACTGGATTGTCATGTAAGATTTTGGGATGGTAACCAAATAAATACATGCTACTATTCTTCAGACTTTCTAGGACATGTTACATCTGAACTTTTATTTGAAAAAATAACTGAGAAATGCTTGTGCATAAATACTAAAAGTTTACTATTATCTATGGATGGCCCGAATGTCAACCTAAAAGTGCTAGGCATAATGATAGAAAAAATGAAGAATGAACACAATGTGAGTCTCTTGAATGTAAGTTCATGTGGACTGCACATAGTGCATAATACCTTTAGGGGTGGTTGCTCTGTTGCTTTTCCAAAAGTAGAGCATGCTGCATCATCTGTTTACCAATTTTTTAAAGACTCTCCTGCTCAAAGAGAAGATTTTGAATCTGTAAATCCTGAATTCGTAAAATTCCCTTTAAAATTTTGCAAGCACAGGTGGGTGGAGAATGAAAAAGTTTTAGTTCGACTTTTAAAAATTTTGCCTGATGTTAAAACTTATTTGAAGGAGATAGAAAACAAAAAGTTTTCTCGGCCAAACAATAAATCGTATACAATCTTATAGGACATGGTTAAAGATGAACTGTTTATTGCCAAATGTAATTTCATTTTACCTGTTGTGAAAGATGTTGAACCTTTCTTAAAATTGTATCAAACTGATAAACCCATGTTACCATTTTTAAATGGTGATCTCTACTTGCTATTAAAAGATGTGCTGAACAGATTTATAAAAGAAGAGAAGCTTCCAGCATCGTAATTGATTTACACTTAATACAATGTGTTAAGTATAAATCTCGAAGGTAAAGAAATGTGTAAAGAGGCAACCAAAATTGATGTTGGCTTTGTTGCTAGAAAAGAGCTGATAAAGAAGAAAATTTTGAAGAATGAGAAGAAAACAATGGAATTTTATTTGAATTGCAGGCAATTTTTATTGAAGTTGTTAAAAAAGCTAATTGAAAAGTGCCCACTGAATTTCTCTTTAGTGCGAAATGTATCGTGCATTGATCCTCGTACAATGCTTGTTAATAAAGAAGCAAACTTAAACAAGCATCGAAAAATATTATTTCATTTGACCAATGCAGGTAGAGTAAAAGAAGAAGATTGTGATAGCATTCTGAAGGAATATGTTAAATTTGTTGAAGATTTTAACAACATGGATACTAAGACAAAATTTAGGCACTGCATTGGCGATAATTTTGATCCTAGCGTAGATCGACTAGATGTGTTTTATTATGAGTTTTTGTCAAATTCAAAATATCCCAATTTGTGGAACGTAATTAAACCTCTACTTCTGCTTTCTCATGGCCAGGCAACTGTTGAGAGAGGGTTTTCGGTTAACAAAAACCTATTGGTTGAAAATATGGCAAACCAAACAATTGTGGCTAAAAGAATAATTGATGACCATCTACGATTTGTTGGTGGTCTTGAAAAAGTCATTATTTCAAAAGAACTCATTGTTTCAGCTACAGGTGCACGTCAAAGATATCTTGCACATTTGGAAGAAGAGAAAGCAATTACAACTAATAAAGTTAAGGGTGAAAAAAGAAAGCTCTTAGCAGAAAATGTTGATAATTTAAAGAAGAAAAAGAAGCATTTGGAGGATGATATTCAAGAACTTAATAAAACTTCTGATGATTATTCTGATCAGGCAGAAAAAAAATGTGATCTCTCATTAATTTCAAAAGCAAACGCCTTAAGGCGTCATGCTAAAGAAAAAATGTCTGAGCTAAAAATATGTGAAGAAGAACTAAATAAGACATATATGTCTTTAAAAAGTGTTTAAAATAAATAATATTTTAAGATGCTTTTTTTATTAATTTACTATTTTATGCTTTTTTTTTTATTATTGTAAATTTAATTTTATAAATAGCTATATTAAAATTATACTAAGTATATAATTTTTTCTCGCACCTCCTGAATTTATTATATTGTACTCCTGAAAAACTCCTTAGAAACTCCTGAAATTGACTTTCTTAGAAAGAGTATGAACCCTGTGTATTACTCCATCGTTTTTTCTTCTTCTTAAGATTATTTCCAAGAAAAATTTCTTTTAGTTGGGTTTAACAATAAAAAAAACGGCTTTTTGTAGAGATTCAGAAAACCGGAAAAATCAGTTATCCGGAATCGATATGGTCCCGATCGTTCCGGATAATCGGTTCCCTACTGTATTTCAAAAAATAATTCTCTCATCATCAAAATCCAAGAAAAATTGGTAGTTTATTAGAACTTTGCTAAAAGACACTGCATAAATAAAATGGTTAATTGAAAAATTTGAAAGCTTTTTTCTATAATTTAAATTGAAAATTATAAGAAAAGGATATTTACAAAGCATTTTTAAAATCACTTAAAATATTTATTTTACCGCCCACCGAAAAAAGAGTTACTTATAAAAATTTAACCAGTTGTAAATAATCCTAAAAAAATAAATATTTGTAATAGTGATCAGAATTAAACCTATAAACACAAAATTTTTTTCCAGTGTGTGTTTGTCCAGATTTAAATAGTGAATACATTTTTTTCAAAATGGAATATGAATAAAAAGGCAGTGTTTCTTATTGTTACTAAGGGGGCATATTTAATGGGTGCTAAGTGCAAGCTGGGCATTGTCAAAATAAAGTCACTTCCGATTATAGCCAATACATTTGACATAGTTGTGTGTGTGTTTTTTTTTTACATGGTACCTAGTGTAATCAGGTAGCGATATTATATCATGTTTGAATGATGGTCGTCTTTAGATCTGCCACA